CCGAAAGCCCTCGGAAGTCAGCCTCACATCGGCTCAACTCTCCCCGAGACTTGGAAAATACCTCCTGATGAAGAGCTAAAGCCTATATGAAAAAGAGAAAAAGCTAGGCAGAAAATGGAAGAATATGACATCAACAAAGGGCATCGAGACCTACCCGATTCAGGGCACGTTGAGCCTTGAAGAAAAGACCCGATGCGTCACTCGGGCCGGCAGCATCCTCGATACCTGTAAACAAATTACGGAAGGGGTCCTCTCCCTCATGAGCCCCATCTACCTCGAGGGTCCCCAAATCTCGGGCTTCCCGAATTGCCCCTTCGGAAAAAGTAGGGAGAGTGGGCGAGTCTTCGATTACTATTGCCCCAAGTGAGTCACTTGGGGCGTTCTCCTCAGTTCGAAGGGCTTCAATACCGGTCCCTTCATATATACCCACCATTTGTTCACTTCGGTGGGAGGCAACTTCGATCTCCAACGACTTGGGGACTTTGCCCGAGTCCTTCTCCGATATCCCCTCAGTTCGAGGCGGAGCCTCATCAACCGCCATTGATCCAGCTGCCTTTGGGGCATCGATGATTTTCTTCACTCGAGCCACCAGAACGGAGCCGTCGTTTTCTTCTTCTTCATCTTCATCCCTTAGACGCTGAACATATTCTTCGGTCAGAGGGATGATGTTCTTCCTCGGCTTACGAGTCATCCTTTTCTTAAGTTCTGTATCCTCGGAGCCCGAGGCCCTTTTTCTCTTGTTGTCCTTCGCTAGTTTCGGAACCGGGGCCAAAGTCTTTTCCTCGCCAGACGGGGGGCTCATGACCGCATCTTTGCCCAGGCCTACATACAAAAAAATTGGTTAAGTATAAGAAAGACATTTTTATCAAATCGTCAAATATATGAAAAGGAGGCTTACCATGATTTTTGGTCTCCCATCGGCCCTTTGATAAATCGCGCCATGAGCGCTCGGTGTATGAAGAGGTCGAGGCCAGGTCCCGAACCTAGCTCTCAAGATTAGGAATTGCACGAGGCATCCAAGCAACCGCTACATCATGGAAAGGGATATCGATAAGAGGAAGTAAAGGGGCAAAACAATAAATAAGAACTAACAGTGGGATTATACTTACACTTCATATTCCATCTCTCAGGAAATGGCATCTTCTCAGCCGGGATTAGGTCGGAAGTCCTCACTCGAACAAATCGTCCCATCCAGCCTCGGTCCTTGTCCTCGTCTATGCTCGAGAACAGCACTTTGGTGGCCCGACGTTGGAGTTTTATTAACCCGCCTCGATAGAGGCGGGGGTTGTATAACCTGATGAGGTGGTCGAGGGTGAAAGGCATCCCCTCGACTTTACTCACGAAGAATCCGAGCAGAATAACAATTCGCCAAAAAGAAGGATGGATTTGGCCTAGGGTTGTTTGATACTGACGACAAAAATCAACGACGACGGGGTTGAGGGGGCCCAGCGTGAAAGGGTAAGTGTAAATACTAAGAAACCCTTTCACATGGGTAGTTATGTCCTCTTCGGTGGTCGGGATCACCACCTCTATATCCCCCCAGTTACAGTCTTTCTTTACCTGCTCGAGGTATTTCTCTGTTATCGAGCATAAATATCTTGACACAGGCTCGCATAGACCGGGAACCGACGAAGCCTTATCGGTTTTGAAATCGGAGTTTAACGCGCACCCCCCGGGAATACACTCCTCAATACGGGGTTCCATTTACATTTTCCCACCGGCCGGTTGAGAAGATGAAGCAGCTTCTTTTTGTGGTACTGTTTTTGATATTTTTGCCATTTTTCGTATGGGTTTGAAGAAAGAAGGAAGCAGTAGGATTTGGTGTTTTGAGAAGGGGTTAACAACAAAACCTGAGGATTTCGTAAAATGGAAAAACTTGAAAGAGGTAAAGACTTTGGAGAAGAAAATGAAAGTAAAATTTGAATCAATGAAGAGAGGGCCTATTTATGGGATTTACAGCGGCGGTTCAAAAGCAATAGTGGTTGATCACCAACTGACGCTCATTAATGACTTGAGGAATCGTACTGACGGGACATTTTCCTTCATTTGCGAGGATGACGTCATGATAATGATGATGTCATAATAGGTCAAACTAGAGAATCGAAGACTCAGTTCGTTCCTTGTTGTTATACTCCAAAAAATGAGGGGACTATCTGTATACGGTTAAAATCAGGCCCACCCAATTTTTCTATGCTGACCGAGACCAAGAAGTTGCAACGAAGGTCAACCCCGAAGTGGATCGGGTCAAGGCACGAAGATAAGGTACCGAGCTCGGGATTCGAGACACCCGCTAAGATCGAGGCCGACAGCAATCGAGACCAAACAAGACATGCATAGAGCAATATCGAAGATAGCGTAATAACGGAAAAGCCAGATATTCGCGACTGGTCGAAGATCATAGCGAAAATCTCGGAACGGATCGAATCAAGAACGGTTGTTTAGCTAATCATGGAATTTCCTTCTCTAATTAGAATTGTACCATATATAGAATTCATCTACTATATAAAGGGTAGTTCTAACCATTTTGTGGGGACAACTGATACAAAAGCAATATGCAATATAATTTTCTTTCTCGCTCACACTCTTGTTCTTCAGCTTATTGTATTTTTATTGTCCTTGCATCAACCAGTTTGATAATACTCTAATGCAAGGGTTGAGTTCTACTCAAATACTGGTTTGATTTACTTTATTGTACAATTCTATCATTAATTTTCATATTTTTCAATTAGTATTAAGTGAAATCACGTATCCTTAAATCCACATTATAAGTTTAATTATTATCCAATTTTGAGGGTAAACAGGAATATTTTTCAGAAGATTGCTAGTTTAGAAGAGGTGGTATTGGTGCATGAAGCTCAGTTTGAACTCAATCCTACTCAGCTCAATAGAGAAAGGCTCCAAAAAGTACAGGCAGATCTCATCGGGTACTTGACACTTGAGGAAGAATTCTGGAAGCAGAAATCAGGAATGGCATGGTTTAAGGATGGGGATCGAAATACCAGACTCTTTCATGCTCAGGTAAATGGGAGGCGAAGAAGATTACAATTAAAGAGGATTAAAAATACTGAAGGCAACTGGATTAAGGGCAATGACCCAATGGCAGAAGAGGAAGTAAAGTTCTTTCAAGCTCAATTTCATAAAGATATTGTCCCTAATGATTTTAGGATTATTGACCATGTCCCTAACATGGTTACTATGGAGAACAATCAAGACCTTGTTAGACAACCTACAAAAGAAGTCAAGCATGTTGTTTTTGGTCAAAATGGGGATAGTGCTAGAGGACCTGATGGCTTCACTAGTAAGTTCTTTTATTGTTGTTGGGAAATCATAAGAGATGATATTCTTTCTATGTTGATGGATTTTTTCAATGGACAGGAGTTATCTAAGTTTGTGACTCACACAAACTTAGTACTTTTTCCTAAGAAAAAAGAAGTGATCACATTCTCATATATGAGGCATGTAAGTCTTAGCAACAACAACAACAACAACAACGACCCAGTAAAACCTCACTAGTGGGGTCTGGGGAGGGTAATATGTACGCAGACCTTACCCCTACCCCGAGGAGTAGAGAGGCTATTTTCGAAAGACCCTCGGCTCAAGAAGACGAAAAGAAAAGAAAAAGAAAGAAAAGAGACAATATCAGTACCACCAACAGATACCATAAAAAAAATTAACAACATCCTAAAAGCCAGAAAATAAGTGCAGAGCAAAAGCGGTAACCATTAAATAGAGTCGGCTCTATGAAAAATGAAAGAGTAGTAAGACACAACATTGCCACTAGCTGTCTCAGATAAAAATCCTACCGAGCTAGCTTCACAAATGTACGAACTAGGGAAAGTCTCAACTACCTCCTAACCTACAACCCTAATACTCGACCTCCACAGCTCCCTATCAAGGGCATGTAAGTCTTAGCAATTTCATCAATAAGGTGTTCTCAAGAGTTATTCATGAAAGGTTAGTCAACTTACTGCCTACACTTATCTCAGATGAACAAGCTGGATTTGTCAAAGGTAGGAGTATTGTTGAAAATATGTTATTGACACAAGAAATAATTACTGACATTAGGCTAAAAACAAAGGCTGGACCTATTATTGTTGAGGAAGATGGGTTTCTGTGAGAGATTTATTGGGATAGTGTATGGTATAGTTTCAAACAATTAGTATTCTGTGTTGATCAATGGCCAGCCTTATGGATTTTTTAAATCCACTAGAGGAGTCAAGTAAGGCGATCCTTTGTCACCTACATTGCTCATTCTAGCTGCAGAGGCTATGTCAAGGGAATTGAATGCTTTACATTTAAATCTATACTTTTGTGGATTTGGTTTTCCAAAATGGAGTCCAAAGATCAATCATCTTGCTTATGTTGATGATACCATAATATTTTCTTCATCAGATGCAATTTCACTACAATTGATCATGGAGGTTTTGAGTGCTTATGAAGTGGCTTCTGGACAGTTAATTAATAAGGTCAAATTAGCAGTATACATGCATCATTCTACAAGTATTGAAGTGGTGAACAAGGTTCAAAGGATTACTGGAATAGGCAGGCAGAAATTTCCTTTCACCTATCTAGGTTGCCCCATTTTTAATGCAAGGAGGAGAATGGAATATTATCATGGTCTCATCAACAAGGTGCTTGAAAAACTTCAATTGTGGAAAGGTAAATTACACTCTATTGGTGGTCGAACAGTTTTGATATCACATGTTCTTCAAAGTATGCCAATACATTTATTGTCAGCTGTGAATCCTCCCTCTTTTGTTATTAACAAGCTGCACAAAATGTTTGCGCAATTTTTCTGGAGTAATTCAGTTGGAGGAAAGAGAAGGCATTGGGCTTCTTGGGATACATTATGCCTATCGTGTGAAGAAGGAGGGGTAGGGTTTAGATCACTTCATGATATCTCCAAAGCGTTGTTTTGTAAACTTTGATGGAACTTTAGAACTAAACATACCTTATGGAGTTATTTCATTAGTCAAAAATATTGCAAGAAATTAAATGCTATGGTGGTACCATGTAGAGACGGATCTCATGTATGGAAGATGATGTTGGAATATAGAGATGACATTGAGAATCAAATAATATGGCAACCAAGAATGGGATCTTCCTTATTTTGGTTTGACAATTGGACGGGTTTAGGGGCCTTGTATTTCATTACTCCACATGATGTTTATTGTGATGAATCTGTTCATAATGTTTATGAGGTAGTACAGGAGGGAGCCTTGGATGAGAATAGGTTGATGGACATTCTTCCTCATGATTTGGCACTACATGTTATTGAGAATGTCAAGCCTCCAGTACTACATGATGATCTTGATAGACCTTTTTGGATGTTGGAGGCCAGGGGTAATTTCACTATCAAATATTCCTGGGAATATTTTAGGAGAAGAAGAGACTCTAGCATTGCATATAAAAATATGTGGGCGAAGGGTTTGCCTTTTAAGATAGCTTTCTTTATGTGGAAGATCTGGAAAGGCAAGCTACCTCTTGATGATACATTTAGGAGAATGGGATATTTTATGTCTTCTAGATGTTGGTGTTGCCTTAATCCGGATGAAGAAACATTGGCTCATGTATTCTACAGATCCTATGCAGCTTATACAGTATGGTACTATTTTCTTTTCAAATGCAGACATATCAATGGATGGCTTATCTTTGCAGCACGCAGTAGTTAAATGTTAGACTGTCCAGTTTGTTCCTAGGCTAAAACCTATTTACCAGGCACTTCCTTCCATCATTTTATGGGAGCTTTGGAAGAGAAGAAATAGATATAAGCATGGGGAAGTTGTCTCAATCAGCATAGTGATCTATCAAGTATCATCTACATTCCAAGCACTGGTCAAAGTAAGGAAGCCAAGCCTACAAAATGTTCCACACAAGTTGCCAGATTTATTGCATATTCTAGAGGTTTATACTTTACGGTTGAAAGTGACATTGGTGTTATGGGATCTTCCTACTCAAGGCTGGATAAATATTAACACTGATGGGGCATCAAGGGGCAAACCAAGCAGCAACTCGATTGGGTTTGTATTAAGGGATGAAGAAGGAGATGTCAGGTTTGCACTAGGTAAGGAAATACATGAGGTTACTAACATTGAAGCAGTTACTATACTGAAGGCATTGAGATATTGTGTGCAGCTTGGTACATACATATCTTGGTGCAAACTGATTCCATGCTATTGAAGAATGTAGTAGAGGGCACATGGATTGCACCTTGGGCAGTGGTTGCATATGTTGAGGAGATTAAAGGCATAATGGATAGGTGTAATGTTAGGGTCTCACATATTATGAGAGAGGGCAATAAGCTGGCTGATTACTTAGCTAATTATGCCCTTGATAATAGCTATATTAAAGCGCACAGTTTTGATCAATTGGAGGCACGAGGTAGAAGGATTATGAATAGTGATAAACTACAATGCCCATATCTACGGATAAAGGTTGCCAGGAGCTAATTTGCATGGAGGTGATCACTAGATGGAGAATGGAATACAAGGGAGGGGGAACAAATTACCATCATGCTCAAGTCCTTATGGAGGAGAGCATGGTGGTCCTTTTTATCACTAACTCTGTGTTCTTTTTTGTATGAGAAGCTACTGTATACATGCCCTATCCTTTGGCAGATCTTCAATGAGTGGTATTAGAACTTTGTGCTCATTCCATTGAAGAGATTGTTTACCCGAAAAACGGATAGAGTTAAATTTATTCGTAGTTCTAAGGATATGTGATATAGCTCAATACAAACTGTAAGGATAAAAGGAAATATCATATATGGACCGCAAAGAAGACAAAATAAATAAAGTTGTAACGAAAGCAATTTTTTGGGACTAAGCAAGATGAATCAGTTTATGAGGCTTAAAAGAATAACTCTCGAATATAAGAGAATATGGTGCTTCAATTACAATGTGAGCTCCAAAAACTGCCCTTCCAGAAATGATAAAAACTCCTCTTTATAGTAGAGGGACCTTACTTTAAATATAATTAAAAAATACTCAGTGGGAGATCCATGATAAATTAGCTTTTCAATAATTCCTGCCAAGATTCTCTCATCTAGTGGGATTGCAACGGCTTTTGTCTGTGAGTCCGATCTGACTCGGGCTCTTGATCTCGGCTTGAGCCCGATTCTAGCTCGAGCTCACGATCTTTGGCTTAAGCTCGATTATGACTCGGACCCTTGAATTGATTCGGGATCAATGTTGGTTGGTCTCTGGATCATAAGCTTGATAGCTTTACTCTGCATCATAGTTCAATTTGGATTCGAGCTCGATAATAATATCGAACTCGACATTGATCAGCCCCTCGGGTTCGAGGCTTGTTTGTTCCATCTTCGGAACCCATCTCGAAGTCTCACTTCTATCGATTATCATTCGAACTTGATCAGACGTGCGAAGGCCGAAATTTATTTCGACCGTATACAGATAGTCCCCTCGTTTCTTAGAAAGAATGTGGTGAGAAACAATATGATCTTTTAACGGCTCGATCGGATTATAACCTGACGTTTCCATCGGGCTCGATCATGACGCATATGATAGCTGTTCCGTCGGTTTAGTCTTTCAAGGCATTTAATGCATGTCAGATGGTGGTCGGCCACTGCTGATACTGAACCGCCATCGCTTAAACCTATAAATAACCCTTCCTTTTATCATTTACCACTTTTACATCTTCAATCTTCCAAATTTCCCAAGTCCCTTTTCGTATTCTCTGACTTACCCGTAAATCTGTGATTTCTCTTTGCAAAAGCCCCTCTTCAATTCTACCAAATCTTTGTCACTTTCTTCTATTCCTCACCTTTGAATTCGAAAATGGCGAAAACATCACAAACCATTCCTCAGAAAGAGAAGGCTTGTTCTTCACAGTGTGCCGCCGATGAGATACCGGCAGAACCACGGCCTGAGGAGTGCGTTCCCGGGGCATGTGTTCTTACTTCTGATTTTAAGGTCGATAAAGGCTCGTCAGTCCCTGGTCGATGTGAGCCAGTATCGAGGTACATATGTTCGATAACCGAGAAGCACCTCAAGCAGCTAAAGAAAGATTGTAATTGGGATAAAAAAGAAATAATAATTCCTACTTCTGACGAAGATATCACTTCTTACGTGAAAGGGTTTTTGAATGTGTATACTTACCCTTTCACGTTAGGTCCCCTCGATGCCGTCAATACCAAATAACCCTAGGCCAGGTCCATCCTTCTTTTTGGCGGATCGTTATCTTGATCCGATACTTTATGAGCAAAATCGAGGGGATGTCGTTCACCCTCGACCATCTTATCTAATTGTACCGTCCTCGACTTTTTCGAGGAGGGTTAATAAAACTTCAGCGTCGGGATACCAAGGCTCTGTTCTCGAGCATTGATGAGGATAGGGATCGGGGCTGGATGGGCAGGTTCGTTCGAGTGAGGACTTCGGACCTGATTCCGACCGAA